AGAGAGAGAGAGAGAGAGAGAGAGAGAGAGAGAGAGAGAGAGAGAGAAAAGTGTGTAGTAAATTCAAAACTTTTATTTTAAAATACCATTCACGCCGTTGAACGGATTGAACGTTTAGAGACGGGCCTTCGATGCACAAATCGATCGAAAATGCACTAGACTATTTTTAGAATTCTTAACACGTTAATTACACCAATTGCATCGGGAGGGCAATTACTACCGAACTCAATTGAATTTTTTTTAAATAAAAGGTCACGCCGTTTAATAGCTAATGAGAACAGCAAAAAAAAAAACCGAATCCCGCAAGTCACTGAGTGAAAACAAAATCTGTGTTCCCTTGCCAACACGCTTTATTGACTTATTTTTTTCGTTTCATTTTCTGTCTTTGTCTATGACGTTCGCTACAATTGTGTGTTTACAGATGGATAAGCCGTGACATTTCGCATTTCAGCCTTTTTGTTAATATATCGGCCACAAACTAGGACAACACTTGAAACCGAATGAAATTGTGAAAAAAATAACGAAAATTCTGATCTGATGCTAAAGAGAAAGAAATTGATCATTCAACAATACAAGACTGATATTTGATTTTTATGAAAACAACGAAAAATTTGAAGAAAAAAAATTTGTAAATTCTTTAAATGTGAATAGGCTAGGAAAAAAAAAACGGAATGCACCAATAAAAAACCTACCCGTCCTTATCGAATGCGGTAAAACACGCGTCCATGGCCAACAATCCTTAATCGTCGACTAAAATTCCAAATTTATTTCATAGATAGATCCACTTTCACCTATTCACCTTCCCTCGGAGCCGTTTCAAACAAATTATGTTTGTATGCATCGAACGTGTGATCTGATTTATGTACAAGTACACACAAATATAGGGCTGCTGCCGCCACTCGTTGCCGCCGCCGTCATTATCGGAACACAAACGACGCGATATAGTCCTTATTTTATTGGTAGTTGATAATGCACCACCTGCAAAGCGGAAATCAATTCATGCGTTGTTTATTTTTGAAAGCTTTGACGAAAAAAACAACAACAACAACAACGAGAAATGTATGGCTTGGCACCGACTGAACAACAGGGGAAAAACTTTCGATATAAAATGCTATAATGGTGTTGAACAATGCATCGCTGCCGTTGCTATTTTCAATTTATTTGAATTTTTATATCCATACTATAGTTCCATTATTTCTTGATCAATTCTAGACTATAAATATACCAGCAGGGGAGAGCCGATTTATGGCCATTTTCGGTGAATTCTTCCTTTTCAGGGAATTTCAGCGAAATTCATTTCATTTTTGCCAACGAAAAATCAAATAAAGATATCGAAAAGTTAGTTATATTAGAAGTTTCAAAAGTCATTCAAACGTTTATTAATAGCAATTAACGCTACAATCACGCAATTTTTCTTCCTCGTTGCCATTTCCATGTGTCAGAAGTTATACCGCGCGTTTTTATTATATTTTTAATAAAAAGTTTTTGTGTAAGAACTGACAAAGACTGAAGTTTGCAATTAGATACAGTATTCCACATGATAGGTCTTTTCATTGTTTGATTTTCCAACATTGCATTTTTTTTGGTGTTTATTCATTTGATCGACAATCAAAATCAACACTTTTCGACTCATTTATTTATTTATGTAGATGTCATGCTCGAAAGTTTCTTAAGGACAAATGAAACAATACGATTTGAATCTAACCGTAAATTTGTCATGATTTATATCTTAATTTTGTGTACTCAATTTTTGTTGGTTTATTTGGAGTTTTGTTAATTATTCAAGTCTATGCTCAAGAAAATTTGGATGTTTCATCCATTGGATGAATTCATCTTATCGAAGAAGAAACCATGGTATTCTTGAGAAATGCGTAAAAAGGAACAATTTTTCATTTGCATTAATAATTGGTGGTGGATAAAATTCCATTTTTTTTTTACAAACGGGGTTGAAATGCCTATGAGAATTGTAAATTTTTCCATTCGCTTCATTTTTCTCGACATAAATGTCAGATAACTTTTGCGTTGTCAATCAATTGGAGTGAAATAGTTCTCATGTGAACAGTGATTTATTCCATCAGGGCTATGGTAACGCGGTTATGGTGTTCCATGAAAAGTAATAAAATTACAATAAGCAGGTCACAAGCTAAGAATAAATTCGCGAATAAAATGCGTCATTACGCAAATCATAAGAAACAAAAACAAAAATGATAAAAAAAAAATCCAGCTGAATTCCTCGTCTAAATATAAAATCGAAGCTGGGGAAGGAAATCCTATAGAGTTGAAACGGAAAAATGGCAAGCAATAAACGAACTGTTGACACTTTGAAATATTAGCACGCAGAGACGACTTTTAATGCTACTTAACTTTGATTCTTTTAGCTTTGTCAGACACAGTGTGTCTTTTATGAACAAGAGATTCCTATTGTTGTTGTGATCACAGTTGAAAATAAAATCACACTTGAGTTCGACGATGAAAATTCAAAATCAAACACAAGATTATTGTTCCCTCTAGTTCGGCAATAACAATTGTTCCGCTTTTGCAAATATAGTGATAAAGTCTAGAATTTATTCCTCTTGATTTCAATCAGTCATGAGAAATGGTATTCTCTCACTTTGCCATGTGTCGTGTCACACGGCGTTAGAGAATCAAATTTATTGCCATCAATTACCATATCATCATATAAATTAGGATGTCAACCACAAATCCACATGTATTTAGAAACCAAACAATATTAAAATTTGATCCAAGTATATCAACTTACGAAAATAGACAACTGAAGGGCCAATTATTTCATTACTTTTTTTTATTCTTTGTTCAAACATGTCATTAATTTTTTTTTATTGCAATATTAAAGTACAGTGTTCAATGAATCACAAGAGGATTTCCTACATTTTGTTCAAGTTTTTTTTTTGGAATTATGTCATTTGTATGCTTTGTACTTATAAGTACTTTATTTATTATAGTAAAATAGGAAAATTAGGTTTTATTTTTGCATGGAAAATGTTTCATACAGGCGTGGATCATGTTTCGTGATTTGTTGCTCTGTAAAACAAAATGAATACATTGTTGGACGCAAGGATAGCATAAGCAAATCTAAACTAGAAGCTCTTTTTGGAATGCTGTTTTTTTTAAAGACATTTAGAAAAATACTCGTTTTATATCATCGAAAAAATAGTGTCGGCCAATTGTGTACAAAGGCGGACATGATAAATTACAGTGTTGTTTATGAAATAAATCATTTTAATTGAAAACTGATCAAATTCATTTGAATATTGATTATAAATTGGTGGTTCTGCCTTTGATTCTTTGGTAAAGCGCTGAGTTTACGTTTTTAAGTTCCATGGCCAGTTTGTATCCAAGTTCCGGACGGCGATCTCTTCCTTCGACCATTGCCTTCACCTGGTCAAAAAATGAAAAGAACAAAAAAGTATTTAAAAAAAACAAGAGCAACAATTCGTATTTTGATTCCAACAATTTGAATCAGCTATTTAAAAAAAAAATCCCAATATGTACCTGCTTCGCATTGATAATGACGCCGTTCGTTGACAAGACCGTTTCTTTGACACTTTCAATGTCTTTGAGGTCAACGCCGCGACAGCAATCGTCCAGTAAAATTGTGCGATAGCCACTGGAAATGGCATCAACAACGGTCGCACCAACGCAGATATCATAAGCCAGTCCACATACAAAGATATCCGTAATACCCTTTGCTCTCAGTTGTGCGTTGAGTGTTGTTTCCGATATATTTTGATTGTCATGGAATAGAGAGTATGAATCAATTTCTGGGTTCGTTCCTTTGTACAATTTCACCGAATTGTCCAGAATTTTGAGATCTTTGTGCAATTCAGCACCCCATGAGTCCTGCACACAGTGTCTGGGCCATAGACGTTGCCGAATCGGTGGCGTACCATCAAAAATGACTGTGTCAAAAACCTTGGCCGATTCTGCATCGAGTGGGCTACTCTCATGCAACGGACGCGTTTTTATGTTATCGATAAATGAGATGTGATCACTTGGATGCCAATCCAACGAATAAAATACCATATCAAAATCAATACTGTCCAACAACTGGTTGATTGGTTCGATTATCTAATCATGTGATGATAGAAAACAAAATCGAATTGTTATTCAATAAGTTTGGTATGACTTACAACTTATCAGATAGTTACCTCATTTCCGTTGTGTTGTGCACTACAATTACTAATGCTCAACGAACCACTGATGAAATCATTTTGGACGTCAACAACCAAAAATGCACTTATCGGCCGAACAATCTGTGAATGGTTTTAAATAAAATGAGATAGTTTTTTTTATTGGCTCTTGTACTGGGTTTTCTTCAAGTATCTCCCGAATGGAATGTCATTTCTTCGAATTTATTTGCTTTTTTCCCTAATTTATCACGTTTTGATAAGAGAAATGATAATGAAAATAGTTTTCAAGTGTATTGCGCATACCGTTTTGATCCAGTGATTCCAGCAAAAATGAAATTCATCGCGATCGATGTAACCGTCTTCATTTTTATCGAATACCTCGAATATTTGTTCCAGCTTTTCGTCCGAAACCACATAGATGTGACCTTTGTCGTTTCGAAACAGGGCACGGCATATCAGCATAAATTCCGGCAATGACAATAGGTCATCACTGAAAAAAGAAAACACATCAATGTAAAAAAGTGACAAAGATTGACAAAATAATGTATAAGTTAAACTTTGCAAATGCAAAGCGAATATTTTAGATGAACGGATGCCGAACCCAAATTAGAACGCAAAATGTAACAATACATTTTCTTGCTGTGTCGCCTTTGTTGATCAGCAAAGCCGGAGGTATTGTTTCAATAAACAATTGAATTGATTTAATGATGTAATCATCGCCATTGGAATTGAAAATTGAACCGAATTGCGTTCCAAATCAACTGAAATCGGATAATTTTCGGTCGACCATTGCAAAAAAAAAAACGACGGTATACACACATGAGTCCCAATCCCAACGCTTAATTTCAAACTAAAATTCTCTGCGTTTCCTTGTCAACGACACTATTGACATAACAACGCAAATCGAAAATTACCCAAAATTTCATAGTTGTGCCGATACTTTAAGATATTGACCTTGTGAACAACACTTTTTTGTGTGTTACACAAACAACAGCCTGAAAAACGTGCGAAACGCAATTCGAATTTAATTTTTCAAGTCCAAACAAAAGAAAAAAAAACCGTCAACATTGCGACACAAAACCTACCCGTCTTTATCAAACGCCGTGAAGCACACGTCCATGTCCAATAGTGTTTCATCATCAACTAAAACTTCCCCATTGGTCTCAATGCAATCCGGTGCGTTGAACATTTTCTTGTTGTGTTGTTCCAGATGCGTGCAAACAAAACATTCATCAATTTATATGTGTCGATTCACTTTCTTATTGACGTATTCAATAACACCATCTGAATAAAAGGAACACACTGTTGCCGGCAATTTCAATGACAAACGAATAAATAAATTTATGAGCAAATAAAATGATATTTAAATGCAGCAGAAAAATGATATAAAATATATCAATCGAAAAACCAAATTTAACAAAACCCGCAAACAAAAACAAAAATCAAAATAAATCGTTTCGGAGCTACTGTGATAGTTGGGAACACGTGTAGCGCTGTACACTTTAACCAACTCACTGGTTGACAGCAATCATCTGGCACAAAACATGACTAAGTGTAGCCAATATATACGCTACCGAGACACGCGTACGGTGCACGAAAAACGGACGCATGGCAGAAAAGAGACAACAATATGCGTTATGTCATTCCTCAATATATGGTCTTATTGTTCTAGTTTGACGTCTAACTATTTATAGCAGTTCGATCTCTTATATGATATTCGAATGTGCTATAAACACGCGTTGACGACAACTCGAATGAACACATTATTCCGATTCGTATATCCATTCGACTGTTTTATTTTTTTCCATTGTTTTTTTTTTTCGCATGAAAATGGCCTTGGAATAATTCAAATTTTGGCAAAAATATATCCTTTTCGGTCATATGTCGAGAACATCATTGATAAATTCAGAATATATTCCGATTTTTATTGGTAGACTTTTTGTTTTATGAAGATTTATGATATTTTATTTTCAATAGAATTTCCGGTTTCATATGTCAAAGGCAATTTTTGTGTAATCAAAAATGGTAGGGAACAAAAGAAAATGAATTTTTATATTTTAGAGCAATGACATTCAAATGCTAAATGAACAGTTAATAAAAATTGAAAATTTTCTAAGAAAAACTTATAAAGATAACGTATAAAAAACAATGTATTAAGACGATTCGGTTGAAACGACGATTTAGATCAATAAATTGTCAACAAACATTTTCGCCGTCTGAGAATGGCCACATTTTCGGATTAAGGTACCATTTTCTAGCGACCGATTTTTGTCGCCGATTCAAGAGGGCTATTCAGAATTTTGGGTACATCTTCTGAGCCACTGAACGGATTTCTAAAATTTTTCATATTTTCTGAAAGGTGTAATCATCAACTTTCTAAGAATGTATATTATTTTAAAATTCATCAAGTGGCTCTACAAATATAGCAAAAATGCTGAAAATCGGCGAAGATCGAAAATGGTACCTTTAGAAACATTTGCTGATATTTTAAAAATCAAGTAGCGACTGCAAGTGTACTTTGGCCGAATATAATTTTCCAAGTACATCAATTTCATAGGATCCCCTAGTTAACCGTTTAACATCGATTGGTGCACCATCAATCGAACGAATGTATGATTTTCCGATTGATTTATTGATGTAATAACCGAATTCGGCTCGTCGCACATAGCCAACCGCTTTGCCATTGCAATAAACGCCTTCCAAGCCCCACAATGGGATTTTTTCGTCAAGAGTCAAGTACGCCAAACGCTTATGCACACCATGTTTTCGTTGCTTTTCAATCACTTCCATTCCTTTATATTCGCCATTTTTTCGACATAAACTCTCCAGGTTTGCTTCAACCGGTGTGTCATCAGATCGCAAGTCAAAGCCCCATAAATGATGTCCTTATGAAATGAGAAAAAATAAACATTAGGAAAATGCCAAAAAATGAATTTGTATGACACAACAAAAATACCTTTTTCACAGTTCAGCGAATTGTACGCACGAAAACCAGCATTTTTCAAACCATATTGCGAACCGATGTCCATCAATTGGTTGTAAATACCCACACATTCTTCATTATCCATATGAAGCTCATATCCAAGTTCACCCATTGTACTAATGCGCATTATCCGAACACAGAATGCTGAGGGAATGGAATAAAAATTACACTAAAGTAGAGCTCTATATAATTCAAAATAAAGAAAAACTGAAAATTCAAACCTTTCGAGTTTGCTTTCTTCATTGTTGCTGTTGTACTTGTAAACGGAGTCAGGGTGTCCAAGCGTGAAACAGTCAATTCTTCTACTATTTTTTGACTAGATTTTTACGCAGAAAGGAAACATTCTCAAAACCTCTTTTTCTTGGAAATTTCTTTCGAAATTTTTTTCGCGATTTTTCATTACCTATTTGGCCCTTGAATGGAAATAATTGCCATTTGATCGGTAACATCTCTCACGGTAGCGTTAAATTCTCGTTCGGCAACCGCATCATTGATATGTGCTAAAATATGATTAGCAAATGCGCCATCGCCAACTATGTAATATGCAGTTCCCTACGTTTTCGAAATTGCAAGTTTTATGAAGAAATGTAAAATCAAATTTGAATTGACTTTGTCAAAGTTTTTTTTTTTCATTTGATAGATTATTATGGAGTTCGACGCACAAGAACTATCTTTTTAATGCGCACAAAAAACTATCTGAAATCAAACAAAATGAATATCTCTGGAAATTTCCGCAATGCATCACTTAATCGTCTGGAATTTGAGCTCCTAAATCAATGGAGCCAGTGACTTGCAGCCAGTGCTGGTTTATTTGCTCATAAATATCATCCATGTGTATTGTGCAGTCAAAATGTCAAGGAATACTAGTAGAAGAGAGACTAAAACAATAGCAAACAACAAATGCCAATGCTCGTCTGCATTCGATTGCAGTGCGACGGTCATTCGATTTACTCGTGTGAAAAGTAAATTATGATTATCAAAATGAAATTTGGTTTTACATTTCCAAACATAAACGCATTGTTATGTAAATGGAGATCAAACGTTTCAAGTCTTCTATTAAGGCTTTTCAGTATCATTATGATTCATGAAACTGTCAGGAGACTTTGTCAAATGAAAAAAGAAACTTTAACAAGTAAATTCTCGTATAAATCGAATTCAATAATTACATTGAATTTTGGTGTAGTAACACTTCCATCTCCTGATTCTAAAACTGTGACCATGAAATTCGCCTCAACACCACCACGACCATTGAGAGCACATGTATAAACGATTCTAAATAACCAGACATTCACAGCGTTAGTTCAATCGAATTTAGCGATATGAAACTGAATTGAAACGTACGAGTTTGGTGGTTTGTTGATATCATTGGTACAAATCCATTCCATTGCTTCCTTTGAATCAGGGCCATCGATCAAGATTTTTGAGAAGCTGTTCAAATTGAATATGGCCGCTTTAGTTCGACAACTCATTGCCTCCGCGCCAATCTGACAAATGATTTATTCAAAAGATCTTCTTATCTTGTCACAACATAAACAAACAAAACTGATATAACATACCCTTTTGTGATGGTCAGAAAACTCGTACTTTTGATCTCCTTTCAAAATATTCAAATAATTCCTGTCTGAGTTACGCGGATGATCATATGCACCATACCAATCATACGGAGGAATATTAATCGGTGCTTTTTCTTTGTAAAAGAATGCGGGACGTTCGTATCCTTGTTTCTCCTCCATAACGGCTCCATTTAAAACCAATTCCGTATGCAATGGATCCGTTTTAAAATTTCGTCCCGCCAGCGGTTGAAGATGGGCAAAAACCGTTGAGTAATTTTTGGCATAGGCTTCATGGCATCGTTGGATTGAGTATTCCTTATCGGCCATTTGCTTTGGTGTAAAACGTCTCACATCGAAATTAAACATATAAAAATCAGGTCGTCCGTGTATGATCCACTCGGCCAATTGTTCGCCGCAACCACCGCCATACATCATTCCTGCCGAATTAAACCCACAATTATGGAACAAACCGATCATAAGAGGATCTGGTCCCATAATCGGTCTATGATCTGGAGTAAACGATTCTGGTCCACATATGGTGCATTTAATACCAGCCTCACCAAAAGCCGGACACAATTCAACCGCTTCTTCAACGTGACAATCAAATGTCGACCAATCCAAATCATACAAACCAAAACTGAATTCACTCTCAACTTTCTCCAAAAGAATTGGATTCTTTTCATAGCCACCTAAATACATCGATGATCCTTGTACACGAAATACAATCGATGCATCGTGATCTCTTATATTGGGCAATCCTTTAATACCTTCAATTGGCTCGGACACAACATACGAATGCTTCATTGGAATCAATGGTATTGTTATACCGAATGGTTCGAACAAATCTCTTCCCCAAACTCCAGTTGCATTCACAATACAACTCGTTTTTATGTCACCGTGTTCAGTTCGTACGCCGATTATTTTATTAACACCTCTGTCGTTTTGCTCTGTGAGTATTTCCGTAACCGGACAATCTTCAATGACTTGAGCATTCGACGTTTTGATGGCAAGCTTTGTCAGGGCATTGCACAACATCGTTGGATCGATTATACCATCACCTGATGGGCGAAAATTGGAAAGTTTGTATTAATTTTTGTTGGAAAAACGATATCTATGGACATATTTTATGTTGCTTTACCAGGTGAATAAAGTGACTCAACAAATGCATCACGATTTAGAACCGGTGCAATTCTAAGCGTTTCATCTGGTGTGAGCATTACATGCTCTATACCATATATTTTAGCAATTGTGGCCAGACGTTGATATTCATCCAAACGAATCTATTGAAAAAAAAAAATTGAAGAAAAAGAATGGAAAAAATGGTGGTGCTTGTGGAAAATATTGAAATATACCTTATTGCGAGCAATAAAAAGTCCTCCATTTTGAATCCAACCGGGATCGTATTCGGTATTATTTTTTATATCAATCACCGTATCTCTTGTTGAGTTCAATAACCTGTTTGCATGACAGATAAGGTAATTTTCTTCTATTTGAATATTATTTTTGAATTGAATTCATCTACGTCTTTTTTTTTCATTCTTTTTGGTACTATCTTTCCTATCTTCTTCCTTTCGTTCTTCTTTTCTTTCGGCAAAAAACAATTTCTTTTTATAAATTTCTTGCACCGAATTTTTCTTTTCAATTAAATTGATTCAATCGAATGAAGATTCTTCATTGAAGAATGATGCAGCCACTACTTACTGAATATCGGTATCATTGGGTCGAATACGCCACATAAGTCCATTTGTATGCCATGTTGTTCCAGAAGTCAGTTTGCAGCGTTCGATTAAGATTGCTTTTATGCCACGTTTAGCCAGATGATAAATTGTGTAACAGCCGGCACTGCCTCCACCTAAATCAAAGCAAAAATCATTTACTTACAATATATGAATGTAATCAATGTATTTCATTCACAATTCACCAATAATCACAACATCGGCATGATTCGGCAGAACTTTTTTATTATCAACATTGCCACTATTCACCAAATAGCGTTTCGTATTTTTTATCGATTTTCGGAGATTTTTCCATGGATATCGAAACATTCTGTTTTGCAATTTATCAATTTACACCTATTCAATATCGGCGTTCGGATACAATGTTTGTGTGCAAAAAAAATCGCATTGAAATGGTATTTAAACCATTCGATTCTTATCGAACCGACCAACCATAATCGCAACACAAATAACAAACAAATGCATTTAATCGATGGAATCTTATCGCGATTCAACATCTTCAGATTGATATTTAGATTGTTTACAAGCCACTGTTTAACATTGATTCGCTAAAAATAATGATCGAATATGATAAGCATACGATTAGAACAAACTAAATGAACGCGTCACATTGTTTGTGTTCTACTTCAATCTAATCTAATTTAATCAAAAGCCACATTATTGCTCGTAAAATTAGTATTTATTGTGATCACAAAGTAGAAAAAAAACATTGAAAAACACACCCAAAAAGGGTGATAAAGTTGTGAATTTATCTAAATTCTTAATTATCAATGGCAAGTAATTATCAAATTGATCAATAATATTCATTAGAAAAGTTTTGACTTTTTAAATCATAGATTGTCAGGAATTTCGTTATAATATCCCAGAATACGCTGATTAGTTTTATCAAACGGTGAACTGAGATGCAATTTTGCTGGATATAATTTACCAAGGACGTCAATTTCGTATGTGCCTTGTTTCAAGTATTCTGTATCGATTGGTTGTCCATCGGAACGATGAATATATGATTTGCCAATGGATTTGTTAGTCATATATCCATATTCAGCCCATCTCAGGTGGCCAACTGCTTCGCTGTTACGATAAACACCTTCTAATCCCCATAATGGAACTTCTTCGCTTAGAGTTAAATACACTAGCCGCTTATGTATGCCTTCATTTTGCTGCTTTTCAACCACATTTCTTCCTTTGTATGCACCGCTTTCTCGGCAAATAGACTCTAAATTCGCTTCCACTGGAGTGTCGTCGGATCGTAAATCGTAACCCCAACGATGAGTGCCTAAAACCGAAAGTAAAGCATTTGAAGTAATAAAATATCCATGATAGTGGTGTTTGTTTGAATTCTTTACACTTTTTTCTCAACCAAATAAATCTCACGGTGAGATTCTCACCTTTTTCACAGCTCAACGAATAGAATGCACGAAAACCAGCATCTCTTAAACCATATTCAGAGCCAACGTTCATTATTTTGTTATAAACACTGGCACAATATTTATTCTCAACATGAATCTCATAGCCAAGCTCACCGACAACACCACTTCGCAAAATTCGAATCGCAAATGACTCTGTAATTCGATAAAAATAGATTGATATCATAATTCTATAGCCCAAACAAGTAATTCATTCCATTAATCACACCTCTCAAATTCTTATCTTTGAATTGAACTACCATACTCTTGTGGTACGGTAACGTCTCTTGGCTTAACTTCAGGGCAGTTAACTCTTCAATGATTGCGCGACTTGAAATAAAGTAAATGAAAAATATATTTGCGGAATGGAAACTGTGTTGGAATTATTTTCAGAATTCTGGTTCTTCTGTCAGAAAAATCAGTTTTTTTTTTGCGATTTTTCATTACCTAAATGGTCCTTGAATGGAAATAATTCCCATTTCATCAGTAAGATCTCGTACGGTGACATTGAATCTTCGTTCGTCGATCGTCTCATTTATGTGTGCCAGCGTGTGACTAGCGTATGCACCATCACCAACTATGTAGTATTCGTTTCCCTGCATTCATGACATTTAAATTCACAATTGGTGAAATGGTGAATTTAAAAATTAAAAATGCTTATTCAATTGCTTACATTAAATTTGGGATTGCTTAAACTACCGTCGCCTGATTCTAGAACTGTGACCATGAAATTCGCTTCAACACCACCACGACCGTTGAGGGTACATGTATAAACGATTCTAAACAACGAGACATTCACAGCGTTAGTTCAATTAAATTTAGCGATATGAGGCTGAATTGAAACGTACGAGTTTGGTGGTTTGTTGATATCATTGGTACAAATCCATTCCATTGCTACCTTTGCCTCGGGCCCTTCGATCAAAATCTTATAAAAGCTGCTCAAATTAAACGCAGCCGCTTTAATTCGACAGCTCATTGCCTCCGCGCCAATCTGGCGAATAATATGAATGGAATAAGAATGATTTATTCAAAACCTCTTCTTATCTTGTCACAACGTTAACAAAAAAAACTGATAACATACCCTTTCGTGATGGTCAGAAAAGTCATATTTTTGATCTCCTTTCAAAATACGCATATACGTTTTGTCTGAATTAACCGGATGATCGTATGCGCCGAACCAATCGTACGGAGGAATATTGATCGGTGCTTTTTCTTTGTAAAAAAATGCGGGACGTTCGTATCCTTGTTTCTCCTCCATAACAGCTCCATTCAAAACCAATTCTTCATGCAATGGATCCGTTTTGAAATTTCGTCCCGCCAGTGGTTGCATATGCGCAAAAACCATTGCATAGTTATCGCCATAGGCTTCATGACTGCGTTCCTTCGCAAATTTCGTATCTTCCATTTGTTTCGGCACGAAGCGTCTGATGTCATAGTTATACATATGAAATTCAGGACGACCGTGAATGATCCACTCGGCCAATTGTTCGCCACAACCACCGCCAAACATCATTCCTGCCGAACTATACCCGCTGCTATGGAATAGACCGATCAAACGAGGATCTGGTCCCATAATCGGTTTATGATCCAGTGTAAACGATTCTGGTCCACAAATTGTGCTTTTAATGCCAGTGGTCGCAAACACTGGGCAAAGCTCTTCCGATCCCTTAACATGACTTTCAAATGTCGACCAATCTAAATCGTACAAACCGAAATTGAAATCCTTGGCCACCGAGTCTAAAATAACAGGGTTTCGTTCATATCCACCCATGCAAATGGAAGAACCTTGAATTCGAAAGTATATCGATGCATCGTGATCTCGGACATTTGGCATACCACGAATACCTTCGATCGGATCAGACACAATATAAGAATGCATCATTGGAATCAAAGGCAGTGCAATGCCCAACGGTTCGAGTAAATCATTTGCCCATACACCAGTTGTATTCACAACACAATTCGTTTTAATGTCACCGTGGTCAGTTCGTAAGCCAATAATTTTGTTTACTCCTCTGTCACGTTGTTCGGTGATTATCTCTTTCACTGGGCAATCTTCAATGACTTGAGCATTTGATGTTTGAACTGCAAGCTTTGTCAAAGCGGTACATAACAATGTTGGGTCGATGTCCCCGTCACCTGATGGGCCGAAATAGGAAAATGTGTATTTTTTTTTTGGAAAAAATATATCTATGGATACATTTTATGTTGCTTTACCAGGTGAATAAAGGGCCGCAATGAAGGATTTTGGATTTAGAAGTGGGAAAATTTGTTGTGCTTCAACCGATGAAAGCATCGCATTTTCAATGCCCATCAATTTTCCAATGGTTGACAACCGCTTGTATTCGTCAATGCGAATCTAAAATTTGTTTATTTTATGTGTAAAAATGGAGTGTTCTTTTGATACTTTTGCCTTAGTTTTTCTTTCTTGTTACTGCCTTTTCTCTTTCACTTTACCTTTTCATGGGCAATGAAGAGACCACCTTTTTGTTGCCATCCCGGATCGAATTCAGTATTTTCTTTGATATCAATCAACATATCTCTGCTTCGATTCAAGAGCCTAAATGAACATACGATTTGATTATTAACGGTGCTTTTTTACTTCATTTATACCTCATTTAAGATTGTTTATTAATATATGTAGATGACAGAAAATGTATCGTTACTGAATGTCAACATCACTTGGTCGAATACGCCAGAGCAACCCAGCTGTATGCCATGTCGTACCCGCCGTTAATTTACATCGTTCCAATAAAACTGCTTTGACACCACGTTTTGCCAGATGATACAACGTATGACATCCTGCACTCCCTCCACCTTCACATGAGAAACGATTATTGAGTAAATAAATTGGTGTCTGTACATACTTCTCTTCTTTTTTCATCGAAAGACTATCATATTAATATTCACCATCATCAACACAATTCATTCATTTTTTCTGTTTATATTTATTTTGTCATAAAATCCGATCAGTTGTCGATAAACATTATCATGAGTCAAAAAAAAAAAAAATCACATTACCAATAATAACGACATCAGCCTGTTGAGGTAATTGAATTGTCTTTTTCGTAACTTTCTCTGTAACCGAATAACTTTTCGTTAAGGCTTTGTAGAAATTTTTAACCGTAAATTTTTGCTGTATAATCCTGTTCATTATGCTGTCTAATATAACGTTGATAATGTGTAATCGTTGTGAAAAATAAATATAAACTGTTTGTCCGAAAATCTCTGGCTTTCGATTTATATGCGTATTGAAAAAAAAACACACAAACAAGGGCTTTGTACCTCTACAGAGGCACACTTTTTCTCTGATAATTTTGCGAATGTATTGCAAATTTCAAGTTTTCTGATCATTAGAATTGTTAACGCACTGGAATGTAAACAATAATGTTTTCTATTCCCGAAACCAAATCCAAAAGTTGAAAATAACACCGTTGGATGAACAACAAATCGAAAGAATTTTGAGGGAAATGTAAAGTTGTTCCGCTGTATTCGTATCAATCACTTTCACTGTCAACATAAAAAATGATAAAGGGCCCCATGACCTATCCGCAACGATAATTTCCTGTAAATATTTTATTGGATAAGTGGTTGAATGTTATGGTGTGATGTGTTATTGTTCAAAAAAAAAAAAAACGTTCTTAAATATTGCATTACAAAAATAGAATGACATTATCATCAAAATACGTTATCAAAAATAAATTATCATCAGAGCCGGATAGATCGAATAATATGTGCTGTGTTTGCTCACTCGTTTGATTCTTTTGTGCACCGACAGTTGTCACAAATGGTCGATTTTTTATACAAAACATTCAGTTATTATGTTGTGATAATGACAACAGTGATAACAGTTTACGCAACCCATGCTTTTTTTCTGCCCATTGCTAATCAATTTTACTTCATTTTTTTTTTTCAGGGATTGATATTTATTCATTTATATTTGTTGATGTGACCAAAGATATATTGCACAACAGCACATATTGGACTAAGCAAAGGCGTACAATGTTATTCTCAATTCTAACGCATTTGAAGTTGGCGCTAAAATTAGCACACAAAAACACACGCGGGCGCAAAAAAAAAATCTGACAGAATCTGTCATGCGACTAAAGTGTCAGAAAACTGATATACGCTAACATTGTCGGGTGTGTATATATGTGTGCGTGTGTGAACAACGAGATCAAATCGACAAAAAAAATAGTTTATTGTCACGTTTTATCAATGTATCAACAATACACACTCACAAACATATTGTGCAATTTCTTCTGTTGTTGCTTTGTACGAGATTCCAGGTGACTTCATTCGGCAATGTGCATCGTTTCATCTTTTAAAATGTGGATGTAAGGCGCCAAAAATGTGCATTTACTACTTTGCAAGCATTTGTTAAGCAATAAAAATTGGTGAATTTGGCAGATGTTATTGCCATTCATTCAGATTTAGTTTTGAATTAAGGGAAAAAAGTTAGTTCGCTGTAGCAGTTTGAACCGTTGACTGCGAACGATTCCAAAAGCAAACAGCTGTAAAACAAGATTTTGAACAAACGTGTTTTGTCATCGCAGAAAAAAAAACTGTTTTGGTTAACTCAGAATCGGTATTACTCACAGTAAATAGATAAATTCTGATTTCTTTTTGTAAATTTAAATTCAATCTGACTACTTAAGAATCAACCGCAGTGTCTTTATTATGATTTTGAAGAATTCTTCTCTTATATGCATCAGACTTAACTCCATGGAATTTTTAAGTTCGCTTGTTCATTGTTCAAGATATATATTAACCACGTGCTTTTCATTTGAATTGTGGAATATTTCAAAATTTTGCTCTGTATGAATGATAACGAAAACAGTTCATTGACCGAATGTTTCTGAGTGAGTCGGTTTTTTTTCTGACTCTCTCTCCCTCTCCAGTGCAAGAAAGACAACGTCCATAATAATATACTTACAGTTATTTCATTGATAGTGATGAAATGTTACGGTTTCCGTTGTAATTACGTAGCACGTGAATAGCATTGTTGTTGTTGGTATTTTTTTTTTTTTGGAACGGAATTTCGATTTAATTGTCAAGGCTCATGTGATTTTTTTGGCCTTGTACGATGGAATTCGCCAAAAATTCATGAAATTGACATTGCAATGTCACTCTTTATTGTCGCCATCGCTTGTTTCAGTAAGAGAAACAGCGTGAGTTTTTTGAATCCCATTATATATATTCCTGCATCCAAAATAAGAAAAATAGGGGAATTACGAGAAAATAACACGGTGCTTTGATTATTTTATTTCTGAGACAAACACAATTTTATTCTTTTCTTATTAAAATGAGACGAACGCATATTCCTCGTGTCATTTGGTTCTCTTCGTTTTCATTTTCTTCTACTCCACATTTTCTCCTTATCACTTTCCGTTCGATTAGTTAATTATTTCCAGATGAATGGATTTTGAACGATTTGACTTTCTTCCACACTTTAATTTCCCACCTTTTCTCATATCGCGCCGCAGTTTTGTTACGCAGTTTAGTAATTGCAAAGAAAGTGTTGTTTTCATAATCAGAGTGTGCGACATTTACACACGGACTCAGTTCAATGTACAGTAGCTCACTCACACTCGCCGTGTACTGTTAGTTCAGAATACGTTAATGGACTTTTCTACTAGTTCACTGTGTTCACATCTTTTGAATAGCAATAACTTAGCTTTTTTGTTTGTTGCTTTGTTTGTTTACGAACTAATAATTGATTCAGTGTATAGAGGCGAATAATAGTTGAAACGACATTAAAAAAAAAATGAGCATAAACAACGGGCAAACCCATGGAAATCCTTCTCATTTGGAATCAATTGATTCTCTAGAGAACAACAGTCGAAGTGATCGACGAGCATCGTTAGTGCGAAATCAAAGTTTTGATGACATGAGCACAATGGCTGAAGCTAAAGTTCTGGTTATTTACACTGGCGGCACCATTGGCATGACGAGGAATTCCAATAATGGCAAGTATTTTTGTTCAACCTAGTTCCAAGATTATATTTAAACCAATTTCCAATTTACTCTCCATATTCAGCATAATTCAGTTCAGAAAATGAAATGAAGACACAGTGAATTGAAAGAAATTCATTGGTTTCATGCTGTGTGTACGTGTACAGTCAAGTGTTCAAGTTCAAATTAAATAAACGTGTTGATACTACAGCAACTGTACAACTGTACAACATTATTTCTAATGTGCAATCGCATTTAATCATCATTGATAACAATAACGTGCATATGAATAATAAGCGGACTCATTAGAATTATTTTATCATTCACAATGATAATTAGTGTTAGTTGAGAAAAAAGTAAGATATTTGATCTCATCAGCGTTGTTTCGACAAAAAAAAAAGTTCGTCCGCATTGATTTGATTCAAAGCACCATTTCTACGGCTTATCTAATTGAATGGCACACATTCTGACTGTAACACATTCTGTGATTTGTCAACGTATCGCGAATCGCGTTATCAGTAAACCAATACGACCGTTAATTAAACTATCTGAGTGTGATAACAAGTGTCACGGTGGATTTATTTGAGTTGAGTAAACAAAAATGTCCCAGTAAGGAAGCAGTTTCACACTTTTCGTTCTTAAAAACAAGTTCACTGTCGTTCGATCAAGTGCAACAATACTTGGATTCAATTTGATTAATGTTAATTGAAATTATCGAATTTTTATCCAGATAAAGATTTACGATGATTCAGTTTATCTACTTTTGAATTGTATGCGGCTATTTATAGCTACGCTAATGAATCACATCTTTATTTTTGCAGTCATCCAAACACATCACATCAAAATAAATATTATTGTTAAATAAATTGATAAACCATCATCGTGTTAATGTTGATTCTTATGTGATTATTTTTTTCGGTTGGTTTGAAAACTGTTTATCAGCTAATCAAATAAAAATATGTTTAAATTATGATCCAAAGAAAAAATAAAATCTATTTTTGTTCTTAACAGCATTGGAGCCGACGCCGAATGTGTTGATTTCGCAACTTCGCAAATATCCGCATATGCACGATGAAGAATATGCCCGAACGCGATTTGGCAAAGCAGTTGGCTTTGGTCCACTTGTGCTTCCGTTTGTTCAGAATGAAGGCCGACGAATTATTTATACAATTATTGAATATGATCCACTATTAGACTCAAGCAATATGGCCATCAAAGATTGGGTTCAAATCGCAGAGGATATCAAAGTATGGCCAACATTTTTTTGGGAACATTTCCTTTTGATTTCAAATGGAATTTTTTTTCTCAATATGATTCAAATGGAAAATTGGCGATAAATAAAGTACTCATTTTTTTTCTAGGACTCTTATCAATTTTATGATGGTTTTCTGATATTGCATGGAACCGACACTCTGTCATATACCGCATCCGCGCTCTCTTTCATGCTGGAAAATCTTGGCAAAACAGTTATCATCACCGGTTCTCAAATACCAATCTTTGAGACACGAACTGATGGCAAGGATAACTTTACATCGGGACTGATTTTGGCTGGAAATTATGTTATACCAGGTTAGGGTTGATTCGGTTGTTTCGGTTCAAATGATGATTCATTTTCTTTCTTTGTTGTGAAATTGAAGAAAAATTCAAAAATGTTGTTGTTCTTCCATCATTCATTTCCAAAAACGACTAACGAAACATATCTCATCCATTCCAGAGGTGTGCGTCCTATTCGGTAACAAATTGCTGCGTGGAAATCGAACAATCAAAAACAGTACGGTGAATTTGGATGCATTTGATTCACCGAACGCAATGCCATTGGCAAAAATTGGCATCAATCTGGACATTGACTATCGGCTAATTCATCGGCCGTGCACGGTAGACAAATTCACTGTACATGGCAAATTGAACGAAAATGTTGGCGTTCTTCGGCTCTTTCCGAGTATTTCAACGGCAACGATCAAAGCATTCCTACAGCCGCCATTACAAGGAGTCGTTTTACAAACATTTGGCGCTGGAAATATCCCATCCAATCGTAAGGATTTAATTGAAGAATTGAAAAGAGCCAACGACAGCGGCGTAATAATTGTCAATTGTACGCAATGCATCAGCGGATCGGTTAGTGAAATCTATGAGGCTGGTCAAGTATTGTGCGATACTGGTGTAATATCTGGCTTTGATATGACACCAGAAGCGGCTCTAACAAAACTTTCGTACGTCTTGGGCAAGGATGATTGGAGCTTGGAGACCAAGAAACAGGTAAAGTCGATCGATTTGAAATGAAACACTTTGTGAGCAATCGATCAAGAATGCCGATCCATTTCAAATCGAAATGTTTTTTTTTTATTTTTGAAATTATTCTGATTGATTTGAAATAAAATGGATTTATCTCTTGAAAACCAGATAATGGAATCAAATCTGCGTGGTGAGCTGACATCGACAAAACCGATGAAATTGGATGAAATTGGACTAATTGACGCAGTGGCAAGATCATTACAAATCTCGTCACCAAAAGAGCTTTCGGAACTTGGCGAAACGCTATTTCCGGCGATGATAAATTCGTCAGTTGTGTCCGGAAATACGAATAAAATTGACATGCTTAAGGGTCACGGTGCAAATTTGTCAACAGTAAATCATGATCATCGAACAGCGCTGCACATAGCTTGTGGCGAGGGCAATGAAAAAATGGTAAGACATCTACTGGCCTACGGTGTTTCCGTACATATTCGTGATCGTCACGATCGAACCGCTTTAATGGAAGCAATTGCCATCGACAATCATGACATTATCAAAACTCTGGTCAAATGCGGTGCACATATGACCGGTTCGTCCCGTGTACTGGGAGAGAATATGTGTGCAGCTGCATCGCGTGGCCTACTGAAACGCCTAATGTCTTATCGATTGGCCGGTGCGAATTTGTCTCAAACAGATTTATCACATCGAACCCCATTGCATTTGGCCTGTTTGCATGGACACACCGAAGTTGTTGAATACTTATTGAAAAATGGCGTTGAAACATCGGTCCTCGATCATTTGAATCTCACACCGTACGATTATGCTCTAAGAGGTGGCCAAAATGAAATCGTGAATCTTTTGAAAGAAAAAGGAGTTGGCCCGCCCAACTCGAACAACGAATAGATATTGGCCGATTCAGAAGACATATCTCATTTTTGTTTTGTAAAATTTGAAGAAAAAAAATACGTTAATAAAGTTATGTGTTCCAACGAATTGTTTTGTTGTGGGAAGCAATTTTTGTTCATCCTTCTTTGTACACTTGGTAGTATATAGTTGAAATCAGGAGCTACCCGCAGGTTTTTTTTTTGACAAGTAATAAGTTTTTGACAACCGTTATATTTTAAATCTCCGCGTATATGGAATCAATATGATTCTTGTTAATGTTAACGTTCCGATTCCTTGATTTGCCGTCAAATACAGTGGTGTCCCGTTACGTTGAACGCAGATTGCCTGTGAAAATAGTATATCGAAATAGGCTTTAAACATGCAATATCGCAGCGATATGCTTTCCTTCTTCCGCTTACGCGTTGAAATCCAAGAAACATGTATCTTTTTGTATCGTCCACTTCGTCCACCGTACATGCGTACTGCTAAACTAAAGCACATTTTTTTCGTTGCGCTCACCTCATCTGTGTTGGGCGAGCAAAAAATGACACAAGCGATAGCCTAGTCTATATATAAGAGCCGTGTATGTATATGCCGTATTGACGGATCTGCATTTGATTGTGTTACGGTATCAGAAATTGTGTGGCTGCGAACTATAGAGACCATGAGTAAGTTCGTTTCTCTCTCTGTGTGTGTGTATGTTGCGATGAGGAAAAATGCGATGTCGTTGTGGGTGTGTGTGTATGAATTTTCCATTATGCTATATTCTATAATAATCATAAACTACATATGATCCGTCACTGTTGACACTGTTCGGGTTTTCTTCACCTTCAACCGTTTCACATACGCACGCATACACACATTCAAATTGAAAATGCCGCACGCGAGTCTATATGACGTAACCAAGAAATTTTTTTCATTATTTTCGAAATTAACGGAGGAAAAAAATGAGCAAATGAATATATGTCAGCAGGTTTTTATTTGGTGAATTAACGGTGAAGAGATGTTTATTAGAGGTTTAGATCACAATTCAATATCGCCTTGTTGATGGAGAGAAACATCCGAGGAAATTTTTTTTATACAAACAATTTTTGTTGTTAATGAATGGAAGTGACATAATACACAAAATGCAAACGATGCACATATACGAGTCAATAAAACGCATACAATGACATGATTTTTCCTGAACACACACACACACACACACTCTTACTCTCCCTCCCTTCTGTAATATCCAAGCATACATAGACACACACACATCCATTGCATGTGAGAGCCACGCGCATAATACGGTGGAAGTGGATTTTTTTTCTGTTCTTTTAAACTGCTTTAATTTATTCCTCGGCAATATAAATTCAACCTAGTGGCCTGAGAGAGCGAAAGAGACGCTATTAAGTCGATGTATGCGTGTATTGGTTGTTTTATTTGGTGAGTGTATAAATATGGGGCGATGCTATGCATGTGTATGAAGCGATTGTGTTTGTGTGTATGTGTGCGTTTCCGAGTGTAGAGAAGGAAAAAAAAAACTCTTCGAAAAATTTCATTTCCTTTTTTCGCGTCGATTATTCTATTCTCTTCGCTGCGGTATTAATACAACATGGCGTTCGCATTGATTTTCATCAGCACAGAATTTTCCAATTCGCGCTGAACGGCTTTTTTCCTTTTTTACAATACCAAGATAGAAAAGAAAAACAACAAACCATCCGATTTCAGTTTGTTTTTTTTTTTGCAGTAACGTGTTTCAATTCCCTGATCCGGTATGTGTGTGTGTGTATACATATACGTATTCCTTGAGTTATTAGTTTTTAGTTTTCTTTCACTTGTCTCTCTCTCTCTCTCTCTCTCTCTCTCTCTCCCTCGGTGTGTTCATTCATTCATTCGTTTCATCTGAAACTAACGGTTCCGTTTGGCAAGTGTACAAAAGGGGTAGGAATAAAGAAAAAAAAAAGTTGCACAGTGAAAGAGTTCGAAAGAGAAAAAAAAAAAATCAAGAAAACAAAATCATACCAGATTGAAGTATACAAATCAAATTGGTTAAATAAAATCTGTGGTTTTGTTTGATTTTAATTGAAATCTTCAGTGTACTCTTCAGTGTCACACGATTTTGACTGTGCAAATTTTACTTTTCTTGCCTATACAATGTGTCCCTCTGGAAAAAAAATCCAATTGAAGGAAATGAATTTGAGAAGCCATACGATGAAGAATTCAATTAGAATCCATCATAAAGGTCCTCCGTTCAAATTCATACACACATATATCTATATGGAATAGATTTGGGCTAAAGCAATTTTTGTGCAGTGAATTTATACACACACGCTTCAACTGTATGACGTTTTGCTCGTCATCCACCCTTAGTCATTCGCAAGCATTTTCATAAAACTTGCAAGCGGCATTCGGTACATGGAGAGAAGAACAAACGAACGAACGAATGAACGGAATCGAAGTCATCTGAGTCACTTTTCTTTTCAGATTCATCATCATTTTTTTTTTGTAATAGTGACAACAAAATAATTCATTGTTTTTGTTTGTTTGTTTTTTCGTTGTGTGCAGATTCAACTACAAAACATCACCTTCTGTATCCAGAGACAATTTCAGCAGTTGAATAGTAATAAGAGTGCAAGAAATTGGCAACCGAAAAAACATCGAATCTACCATTAGCAACCAAAACGTAAAAACAAGCAACAGAAGAAGAAAAAAAAAATATTGGAAAATTGGAATTAATTTGTGTTGAACGAAAATTATTGCTGTTCGGCTATTGTTGTGTGTGCATTGAAGCCCATGTGTGAATGTTGAGAGAAAAAAAAATATTTAAAGCTTTAGTATATAATCAATATCACAGCCATCCAATAAAGGTGGTGACATTACCTAGTCGCTTAACAAAGTGAAAAGAAGTGCTTCGAACCAACAAAACAATATCAACAACCGAATAATATTAAGGCGATCAGTGGAGGGTTGTTGAATATTGTCTAATTTAGAAATTACAAGGAATAACAAAAAACAAAATCACACACCCGTATACAGATGATGAAAATTCATGTAATGTCTCAGGATCGAGTGCCCCATCATTAATGTCTGAATTTTAATTTTGTGTGATTAAACATCAAAACGAACGAAAAAAAAAGTTTTCTTTTTGTTGCTTTCGTTTCTCGTCGGATGGTGGCCACAACCAAAGTAAGTGTAGTGACAAGTGATGTATATATTTTCATTTTTCATCCAATTAAATGGGTAGAATTTAAGAGAGATGGTGACAGGAAAGAAAATGCCAATAAAATCTGATGTAAACTCAAAATTTAATTAGTGGAATTGGTGCATGTTGAACACTTGATGCAAAACCCAAAGAAGACGTAATCAATGCCATTATGGTGATTATTTCCACTCAATGCGATCATTGTCCTATTGTTGTACTGCACAAATTGGATGCGATTCATGCATGGAAAAATTTAAAAATATGAAAATAGTTGAATGGGAAAAGGCGGAATGCGACTTGAACAGTTTCAACTGCAAATATGTATGCATGTTTATGTGTGCGTGTGAAAGCGGCGCCATCGAACTGAATGCTTTAAGCACCCTCGAAAATTAAACATTTCCCATCGGCAGAAAAATTGTAACAAATCATGCCAGCCATGCGGCCTTCTTCACGTTTTTGCCAAAAAGCGATATTACATTCGCTTACTGCAAGCGTACATAGCACGGAGCGAACGAATGGAGAGAAGTAAAAAAAGAGATGAAAAATCGTACGATTAAACGGCTGGAAAATGTGGAGATGTGCGTATGTGTGTGTGTTTCATGGGCTTGTGTATCGAGAACGCTCCACGGAGAGTGCTTTTATGCCAAAGTGGTAGTTAAAATACTACACAGTTGACGTTGGGAATAGTCGATAGGCACGAATACAGTGCCGTATGTGTACTCCACAGCCAGTGCGAAAGAGAGAGAGAAAACTCAATTGGGAAAATGACAAATTTTCAGGCGCCACACACATCGCGTATGACAAATAAAAATTGTATGGCCGAACAGCGTATACGGAACAAAATGGCCATTTTTAGAGTTACATTTTGATCTGCCCTACTCTCTCTCTCTCTCTCTCCCTCTCTCTCTCTTTCTCTGTCTCTCCCTCGTTTTGTCACTATAATGCACCACTTTGACCTTTTCTATACGGTTTTTTTTCCTTCTCTCCATATTACCCGCTAAATGAGGAGAGAGAGCGCGCGAGACAGAGAGAAAATGTAATTACATCGTGCGATAAAACAGACAGGTCAATTAGCCGATTAAATGTATGTGCCCATAGTCATACGATTTAATTGGTCATCTATCAAAACACAATATAATTGTGTGTGAATAATTTTCAGTAACGGCCAGATCGATCCCATCATAAATCTAATCACGATATTGTTTAGTGTTAACGGTGAACTGGCCCGATTCAGACATGTATGCATTATTTATTCACATTTCGACACTTATTCAATTATCGACATTAATATCAATTGAAGGGTGCATACAATAATAATAGTGGCTTCACTCCATTATGAGTTTTTCATTCATTCATTTTGCTTTTTTCCCCTTCTCTTCCACCAATTTTAATTTAATTAAATACTTCTGACCATGCAATTGTTCTGATTATTATCTGCCAATTTAAAATCGACTAAAATATTCATATATAAATCAGAGAGCATAGTCATCGGAATATATTTAGTGTGAATAAATAACAGAAGCAAATATTTCGCGGTAAATAACCGCAAAATTGTTCAATTCTTCATGGAACATAAACAAAAAACGCACAAACTCAACTCTACAACAGCTAATTTCATATGGATTAAATCAATTTTTTTTTTGTTCGGAACAAAACTAATGACTTGATGTTAAAATGCTTGAACACGCATGTGTTTCTTCAAACTTTAGCTTAAAATATACAAATCCACTTGTGATACTAGGTTTTACGCGCGTTCCGGGTGAATGAAATTGACAGCACAGCTGAAAAAAGAATGAGGGGGAGAGTAAGAGAGCGAGAAAAATGAATTTCAAATTCTCATAATTCTCACACTCAAATTTGACTGTAAATCCATTGCTTGCTGCGTTTGTTTTCTTCTCTTTCTATTTATTCACAAGATATATACCACATCGTGCTTAGAACACATAAAATAGCCGAATATATACCGGCTAGACGAAGTGGATATGATGCGGCCGACACTTAAAACGAGAGAAAAACTTTTTAAAAAAAGAGAACCAAACGCCGTCTATAAATATACTTGCAATAGGAGGTTAGCGATTTCATTTTCTTATGAACTTTGATACTTTTAAATGGTAGTTCCAATTAACAGATTGCCTCATAAATAATCTATGACCACATGAATGAACAAATGGTTACACTTTATCGTGGCGTGTGTACATTTGCACACACGTGTGTGTTTGTGTTTTTTTTCTTCGCATGGATTTTTATTAAAATAGAATTTCGTTCAATCATTTATTGGACGGTAAAAATTAAGTTGTGTGTCGAAGTGGTCAAACGGAAATCAAGTAACAACACACAAAACTTGAATAAATCAATTAATTGCTTGATAATATCATGCTTAATATCGTCGGTGTGCATGGCTCACACTAGCTGACGCTAGAGCGTATCTATGCTATTTTTACCGTTACATGGAAAATCAATCGCATATTGATTTTTAAATCGGAGTGTTTGTTCTTCAACAAAATTGTTGTGGCCGAGATGATTTTATACTCTTTCAGAAATGTCACAAGAGAACGCACATTTAAGACACCTAGACTATGAATCATTGGGCAATTTGAACTTGCTATTGAAAGATATTCAGGTGCATGGATAGAAGTTTTATCATGGAACTCTTTTTTTTATATCGGACACACTCAAAATATGCTTCTATATTTAGAAAAGAATCTATTAATCAATCGTCAAAAATACAAATGTTCTAAGAAAACACTCTACCAATATACCCTACTTTGACGCTCATCGATGTGGTTATGTAATAGATTTTGCAATATATGTGTACAAGGTTATGGTAATCAAAATTCCATTGAATGAGACTATTTCAGATTGCCACAGTACAATTCAAACAAGTTGTTCTTTCAGATGAAGGACCGTGGCATGAAAATCTTTATGACCGACTGTCAAAAGTAATAAATAATCTTATGAAGCGATCATGAATGAAAAAAACATGAGGCAAACTATAATCGATGGAAGTAAATGCATATTTTGGGCAAAATTTTTATGCCATTTTCCTCATAGAACATCGATAAATCAATGGGATCGAAGAATATATGTCAACACTTTTCTATGGAAAGAAAACATGTCAACAAGCTTCTTGAAATAGCCTATTTCACATCCTCCAGATTCTGTCCCACAGAATTAAGAACAAATAAAACCGCTTGGAGTGAATTCCGCGTATAAAATTTATAGAAACAATTAATATGTGTTTGAAGCGATCAAAGTTCATCGACGAAAACAAAACAAAAAAATTTGCAACAACTTTGGTGGTGGTAAGAACAAGGCAACGAATATAGTCAAAGACTGGTTGGATTGAGAGTGCCCAGAATGGATAGGCTTCATATAAAATGTATGAACAGAATACCGTTAGAATTTAGTGTAATAACGGTAATGAAATCGTGTGGACTTAAAAAAAAGAAGTATATCACAGTTAATTGGTTGTAAGTCGGTATAGATCATTTATGTTGGTATAATTAGATGGGTTGGTATGGGCAAACGCATGTCGCGAACAGATGAATTCAATGAATTTCCACTGAGTATCAAATGTTATTAATGTCAATACAACTAGAACCTCACCTTTCGTGATAACAATGGTCACATTGTAGTGCAGACAAGAACGTGAGTTTTACCTATAAATCACCAGGCATTCAACCGTTTTGAATCCAGGAATTCAACCGTTTTTGATTTGCTGCGCTATCTTGAAGTTTTGGATAATCAATTTTGGTGGAAAAAGAACATCTAAACTGAGTTTACTGCGAACAACATCACTTTTACGCTAACAGCAATTCGTACACCAAAGAGTTAGTGTGTTGGTGTGAGCGAGACAAAGTTTGACAGCAAACAATTTGGTTGTGTCAGTTCAAATGTTCTTTAATTTTCATGAAGGAAAAAAATTGAATAAATTCTACTATTTGAATTCTGTTGATTTTAATATGCGTTCTGTTTAAAATCAACTTTGCGTTCATTGATGCACACCTCGAATAATGTTGTTTTCTGTGAAAAATGAAAAAAAAAAACGCAACAAACTTGACACATTAAGTCACATAAAAATGATCAAATAAAAAATAGAAATAGCTTGATTTGAATCCTCAAATTGAGTGGCCGTTAATACGTTCGAGCATAACGGTAAATTTATGTTGTACACCGTGAGTAGTTCATGGAGAAACTAAAGTAAGACAAACCAATATATTCCGTTAATTGTACACGTTCGGTTCAACCTTCTCCAGTTCAGTGCACTTCATATTCTCCGCTGCATATATGAACACTGAATGCAATGCGAATGAAAAAAAAAAGATTTTAATTGCTTTGCGTTTAATTCTTTTTTTATTCAATTTTTTTTTCTTCACTTCTACAGTTGCTTGGCATTATGTCAAAAGGTCTGATGATCATGAGACGGTATTTTGTTTCAGAACCGGCAAATTGACTTTGTAATGTAGATCAAAACAACAACAAGAGAGAGAGAGAGAGAGAGAGAGAGAGAGAGAGAGAGAGAGAGAGA